CCTCTAGTAATATATTTACTGAGAAAAATGGTGACGTGTTCAATACTTATTTTGCCCGCTGTATTTCAGGTGAGCTTTTCACCTGCAGGAATTTATGTTTTAGTAAAAAATGATTTTGTTTTTAAAGGTCTTTGTTTTTTTTTATCTTCTCTCCAGTATTTGCCACAGTTAACTGGAAGCAGCATCTTTCCATCTCTGGACAATAAAAAGTACTACAACAACCTGCGCAAGTTCAACTACCACCTTCCCAACATCTGAACGTCTGGCTCCAAACTGAACAGAATGCCTGCCTTGACTGCCTAGAACTGGACTTTATTTGTTCAGAACAATGTAGATTTTTATTTTGTTTTTACTTTTTCTTGTTTGTTCCTCAAGTGTTGTGCCTGACTGTYCTTTACTGATGTTAATCTATGCACCATGTGTGGGTTTCTGTAGGATCCAACAGCATTTCAAGCTGATTTAGTTTTTAGTTTTTTAAAGATGTGTAAAGACAAAGAGTGATGCTCTGTTGTGAGTAGACAGGAGGTAAAACTACACGTACTGCCCCGCCTGGTTTGCCAAATGTATTTTTATATGATGAGGGACTGTTTCAGAGTGACGTAAATATGTAGCAAGTTTAATAWTTAATATTTTGGTAAGCTGCAACTCAAACGACTCTTGCGCGTTTCTSAATATATTTATTGACACCTGAGTGCAGAGGCAAACATTAGCTCCACCCACCTTAACTTACATTCATCTAAAGTCAAACAACTTGTTGTGTTTGTTGCTGGAACTCTGGTGCTAAGGATGTTTTCAGCCTTCTGCCTGTCCTCAGATCATTTATGAAAAATGCCAAAATAAAGAGAAAAGAACTGAAACGACACTGAGCGGCTGCYGTTTGTAATCTGTTCTGTTGGCTCTGACACTGCAAAAACTGTCCATCTTACCAAGTTTTAAATCTTATATCAGCTAAAAAGTCTTTTTGATCTTGTTTTGAGACTGATTTACTAAACAAGAGCTGATTGTGTAAGAATAATCATCTTGTTTTCAGAATGTGTAAGATTATTTGTCTTGTTAGTCTGAAAATTTGACTCAAATTGTCAAAAATTTCTGCCAATGGAGTAAGAAA